ACCTGGACCCGTTCCACATGACAAATATTGCCCACTAAAGAAGAAATAATTCGTAGATCTGTTTTCGTAAACTTGAAATTGGATCTCTTTTCCTAAATTTGAACTTCTCTTGTATTTTTGATTGCTTTGACGTGATGATGATCTTGGTAATTGAGGTTTCAGCATTGGTTTCCAAAAAATTGGTTGGACGACTAGCTATTGTGTTAATTGAGTTGTGTTTTTACTCTATCTATTTTGATCAAGATCTCTAACAACGATTATCTATTTTCGTCGAGATCTCTGAAGAAAGCCACACCTTGGAATGGATTTGATTGGCTAATTTTAGTTTCTCCCCTATGGATTCCCCCTTGAATATATTTATTTATTTATATTCTGTTGTTCGCGTGGTCGGGAATATTCGTTGTCTGAAGTTTTCTTGTTTGTGCCAGAAACGCGTAAAACCCTCCTTTTTCTTCTTTCTTTCTCTCTCTTCCCCCCCTCCTCTTCTGCCCTTTCATTAATCCATCCATGTCGTCTTGATTGTACCTATAGACAGACCTTTGAAAGCGATCTTTTACCAGATGGAAGTGTGGATGCATTGGGTTCAGAAGCTTTGTGACTCGCTGGTTAAAGTGGAAGAGGCCCAGTGTCCCTTCCGTGTTTGGACCAAGGCGCTTGATCCAGTAGGTCTTACTATTCGGCCATGTGTCGGTGTACAGCCCTCGCCGTTTGCCGTCATTGAAATTCATCCCCTTTTGCTTCAACATCGCATTCAAAAGGTGGTCGACCTCTTGAAGCTTCTGCGACGCAACAATCCCCAGGGTGCAAATCTGACCCTTTTCATTCAAGACTGTAAAGATCGCTTTGCCACCTTCCAATCGATAGTTCTTCAGAGTCTCAAAGGTATGGTCAATCGCAAGAAGCTCTCCAATGCTTGTTGCTTGAATCATACGCTCAAATCGATCATTTGCTGCCATTCCCTCTGGATTAAGGATCGAATCCTGAGCGTATCTGCATTGGTTTCGGCAATCTTGATCTGATGGTGGATATGTTCGAACCACCTCTTGTATTGGTGGATAAGCTCCAGCAATGTTTGGCCTGCTGTAATAGTCTTCCATCTTCTCAAGAAATGCTTCATTTTTTTGTCTGTAGATCTTCTTTGTAAATTGAGCTGCACTGGAGAACTGCAACATGCCTTCCTCTATGTCTCCAGTTAGCGGCTTCGGTATGTGAGTTTGCTGGGGACCATCTGCATACCTTGGGTCAACAGGGTATTGGTTGCGGATGAATGCTGGAAGGGTCGCAAGAAACCGTCCTTCATTTGTTGAGAAGATGTGTTTACAACAGTTGAATTGGTACCGGAATGGTAGGCACCAAATCTCAGTTGAATCATCAACAACCGGAAACAGACGCTTGTGGTGACTCCAATAATCACGTTCTCGAGATAGATCATTAGATGAACATTGATAGCAAGCTAGTTCCAAGTTTGGAAAAGCGACTTCAAAGTCCATGTAGATGAATTTGGACCCGGCAAGGGAATGGAAATGTGGGTCGATCAAACGTCTTGAGTCCATCACATATGGAACTGTATATACGATGTTGTTCAACCCAAAAATTGCATCGAATCTAGCTTTTGCTTCCTTGAATGATTGACTCTGTGGTGGCAACGCAGACTCGGCAATGCGCTTTGGTTTTTGTGCCGAACTTGATCCATAATCTTGACTGCCAAGGCCAACATTGCAGGTGGGACTGTCTTGTTTGGTGGCGCTTGTTTCAGTCTTGTTGCAATGCTCTTCTACAGAAAAATGGCCACTTCCTGCAGAGAACTTGTCGGCGCAAGCATCTTACTTGCAACTGCTGAATCGGTTTCCATCACAGGGACCTTTCCTGTGTGAAGTCTCTGGTACTTCTTCACCGTTCTTACCAAATACTGATCAACCCCTGGAGTGGTTCCGCCCGTCAGCTGTTTTTCCTTGCCAGGATCAGTCATTCTAGCAGAGAAGTGTCTCTTGAGGTACGCTGAATATCGATTACTTGCCACTTCTGTAGCAGAATGTCCACGAGTTTTAGTGTTGCTTTCACAACGAGGATTGTGTTTCCGATGTGGCTTTCGCTGGTTCCGAGCCACTGCCCTGCAGATAATACAGTCCTTATCTGGATCAAAAGCTCTCTGACTTATATCTTCGACTGCTCGCTGAATAAGAGGTCTGCTGATAGGCCTTGTGTAAGCTTGAGCTCTCTTTGCTACTCGGTATTGAAGTCCTTTGTACACTGGCAATCTTGTTTGGCTTTGCCGCCCCATTGGTTTATTTGTGGCACCACCATTCTGATTCTGAAATTGCAGTGCACCATGCGGCCAAGAATTGTATGCGTTCAACGGATGCATCAGTTGTGGGTTTCCATATGGGTTGGGAACCTCCATTATGATGTTGCTATAGCTGCTTTGAGACGACTGTTTTTTGTTGTCATTGGAGATTTGACTTTACCGAGTTTTGTGATGTCTTCGTTCCTGTCACGGATGCGTACTTTTTTACGTTTTTGGTAGTCAGGTCAGAGTCTGCGTGGAGTCTACGTGCAAGTACTATGTCGTTTGATGAAAGTTCCCTATCTATTTTTCTCAATGCGATCTCCTCGACCAATCGAGTTTCTGCCTTTTTCCCCAATATACCCACGCATCAACTCAGTTTTCACGTGCACACCCGCAAAGTACAGTAGTAAGCAAAGCTGCCCGGGGAAAAGAAGACGGGCCACTTTGCAGATCATCCAATACCAATACAGCAAACAACCGAATAGCGCAATACTGCAGTACAATAAACTGAACGCAAGATAGCGTTGATAATGTCTCAGTTATCAACAGTGAAGAAGTTTGTTTCGTCGGAAGATGGGGAAGAGTTCAAGGAACTTGTAAAAAAACACTACAAAGGATTTGTTCATGTGCCTTCAAGAGAACTTGCACCACCTTGTTTTTATACTGATGCAAAGAGGGCTTTCGAAACACTGCGGCAAAAAAACTACTATCACGTGCGTTCAATCAAATCAACTCTTAAGTGCTCATGCATTCAGATACTGAAACCGTCTCTTCCCAAAGTATGACGTTGTCATGGCAGGCGGGAAACACTGCAGTAGGACATTTGTGAAAAGAACGCTTGTCGGCTGTCCCGGTGAGATTCCAAGAACTGATGCAGGAATTAGTCTTGCGATCTGCTTGTACCCCAACTAACTGCGACCCACCAATCGACAGGAATTACGTACAAATATTTGTCTCTTAGGTAAATGAGTCTTAGGATCATTTTGTGCTTGAGGCAATCTGGCCATTCTTTCTCACCCACGATCGTAGGCTTTTTGCACACCCATGGTCAGGGCCAGATGCAATTCCGATGATGAAGTCGATCTGCAATATCAATAAGAGTATGATCGAAATGACCAAAGAGCATACTGGTCACGGTTTGTGTGATTACAACCTCACGCTCATCAACGACATGCCTTCTGCAGCCTTTCACTCAAGCGTCGGTTTCAAAGAAGAAGCGTTCTATGGTAAGTCACCTGCACCATTCCTACCTTGCAACATTTCTTTGTCTAACAGTACCCAAAGGTATGGGAAAAGGTATGTCACTGCACCATTCCTATCTTGTGAAACTTGTGTGTATCTAACAAAATCTGAAGTGTCTGTGAGTTGGCACGCAGACAGTTCGCTGCAAAATGGTTCGAGTATTGGTGTCTGTCATTTTGTGTCTTCACGAAAAGCAACACCTTGTGACTGGCGAATAGCACTGCGACCATCTCCTTCGGGTGAAAATGGCGTCTCCAGCGATATCCCACCCATTTCTGTTAGGACAGCCGATGGGGATGCATATGTAAGACTGATTATGATTTTTTCCCTAATGCATAATTGCGATGTTGAGCAATTACTAATGGCTGTTAAATGGCTGGTACTCAAAGTTCTTGTTGGGAAGTTTCAATGAAAAGTATCAGCATTGTGTTCTTGCAGGTGAGGTCGACTGCGCTCAGTGAGGAAGCTTATTTTTATTCGCACTGGAACACACACTCACGCCCTTAATCTTGTTTTCATTTTATAGGCAGTAGTCAACATCGGATCAGCAGCACTCACCGTGTTGCGACGATAGAAAAAGATACATATCAATACATATTGAGGCGAAGCAAGACGGCACTGAAAAGGCTTCGTACCGAAGTGGAGAAAGACGAGGCCAGGATGGACTATCGAGTAGTTCTTTTCTCGCAGAAAGTGCTTACGGAATTAGAGATGGAATGGGTCGCGCAGTACTGGCTTCAAGGCTCTACGCACAATAAACTCCATGTGTGGTGGCATAAACCGATGGAGACCTTGGAAAGTCTCTGGGAGAATCTAGAGGAGTTGACACATAGAGTCTATACTCGATGCATTGAAGCCTCGTCGGCAGTTCCTCGGGCTGTTGTAGTTGCTATATTAGAAGAATTCAAGATTCGGCAACGACTCAGACAGCTATGGGACGAAAGAAGAGCAGATGCAGTTTATAAGAAACGAATGAAGGAAGACCAAAGACCAATTGCTCGACCCCAGTTTCACGATAGAAAGGACTGTTTACCAAAGTCATTATCGACGGCAATACAAATGCTTGCAAGCGTGAGGGTGCAGAAGCAGATCTCAACGGTAGATAAAACAAATGAGACGAATCATCATGGGGTGCGAAAAGCGCAGAAATCCTCAGCTGCAAAGAAGAAACGGCCTTCGAGTTCAAGCAGAAAGAAGGAAGTTCACAAACGGAAACGAGAAACTGAGGAAGAAAATCGACCTCTTGGTCTGATACTCTAACCATTCATTTGTCACTAAAGCATAGACCACTTCACTTTTGATCAAATCCTTCACAGTGATTTTCGACTTATTCAAACTACATCAAGCAAAACGTTCGGCCAAATTTACTTAAAAGTTGGAAATCCTCCAACTTCAGCACTCGTCGACGAGCTGCTGCCACTGTTGAAGTGACCCTCTTTGAAGCCAGAAATGGAATTGCCAAATACACCATGTTGACGACCAAGTACACTTGGGGTCGCAAGTTTGTCTCGGCACTTGTTCTTCATCAGAGGAGATACGTTGGCGCTCGGCCCTGGATATTGCGAGTTAGTCTATTATTGAGGTAAAGGTAGCCGTGCATTCATTTCAAGAGGATAACCACGTACCGTTCGGAGAGAAGATATTTGATTCAGAAGGGGAGTAAATGTCAGATTGATGATTTCAAAAGTTCATATCTTGCAACAATCATTAGACCATAGTCGCAGATTCAAACTGGCAGTGCAGAAAATAAGCGCCGTAACTATGATCTTGGAAATTGTCCCTATGACTTTGGGACGGATCTACCCGAGGGTCGCCTTGGCCGGAAGTTGAGAGGAGTTGTGCCGAAGGAGGAGCCGCAGGGACGCCTTACGTGGAAGTTGAGTGTTGACGGGGCATGAGTGGGGGCACGTTTTGTCCTCGATGACTTTGGGACGCATTGGCCCGCAGCTTTGCTCCTCTCGAAACAATATTGCCTTATTGAGATTGGGACGGTGTGTTGGCATATCCTTGGGACTGCACTGCCTGTGGCGGTGAGACTCTGGGTGGGCCGTCACCATAAGAGCGCTGGGCGAGTTCCATGACGGGTTCCATGGCGGGTTCCAGATGATTTTCCCATCAAGGTTGTGTTGGTTCTTGGAATTCTGGTTCTTGCTGTTCTGTCCGTTCACTGGGATGGCCAGATCGACTAGACCCTTCGACATGGCCATATGGTGGATACTATGTTATTGGCTTGATAGTGTATGTGTGCGTGTGTGTGTGCGTGTGTGTGCGTGTGTATAGGTTTGCTACTGTACGGTTGTTGGCTTCCAGTTGAAATAGCTGTACCGAAATTTTTTGTGAGAAGAGATGGAACGAAACCACGAGAAATTGGAGTTGAAAGTGGACAGTTTTGAATTTTACAACTGTGTGTCATTAATACAGAGCAATGATGAATTATTTATTCTTTTGAAATTCATCTACTCATACCTAGCAAAATGGCGCATTCGTGTCCATCGTCGTACGTACTATTTTTTACACTTTCAACGTTGGTCTTGACGACTGGTAATGCTGCTGTATGTTTTACGTTAGAACCTTCAAAGAGATTTATATCCCGCAACAATCATAAGCAAATTTACTTGTAACTTGGAAATCCTCCAACTTGAGCACTCATCGACGAGCTGCTGCCACCGTCGAAGTAACCCTCTTTGAAGCCAGGAATGGAATTGCCAAGCACATCATCTTGACGACCAAATACACTTGGGGTAGCAAGTCTGTCTCCACACTTATTCTCCATTAGAGGAGAGACATTGGCACTCGGCCCGTTCGGACAGAAGATCTGGAAGCAAATGTCAGATTGATGATTGCAAAGTTCAAACGACAATACCCCAATGAAAGCGAACGTACCGAGGAGGATTCGGCGTTCATTGGCGCAATGGCCTTCAATTGGGCTTTCAAATCACGGGCTGAAGAGAACGTTACTTCATTTTTTTGCTTTCGATCCTGCCAATCTTTCTCGCGGCGACTGTAGTCGGAGTACTTCGCAGAGGCGGGTTGTACAACAAGTGATCCACAGGTAACACCAGCCAAGACTTGCTTCAGTGAGTTTCGGCGGCTACAAATTTCATTTCCACCTGTCGACAGGGATTCCAAGCACGCCAAAAGCTGTAGACAACTGATGAGGAAGTATCTTCTTTGAAAAGAAACCATGTTCAGTCCTTGTCCCGAAGGCTCAAAAGAAATTTCAATTGTTTGTCTGCAAAGTGGCCCGTCTTCTTTTCCCCCGGCAGCTTTGCTTACTACTTTGCGGGTGTGCACGTGAAAATTGAGATATACGGTGGGGTTTGGTGTTCGGGTGTCAGCCATTAAAGCTATTTTTATCTTTTCCCCGGGCAGCTTTGCTTACTACTTTGCGGGTACGTGAAAACTGAGATGTACAGTACGGTGGGGTTTGGTGTTCGGGTGTCAGAAATTAAAGCTATTTATTTAGTTAATGTTTTTCGTCACATCGTGTGGAGCCTTAGGATACGACCTAATTAAATTTGGTCGTTTTATTTCCGACTCCATGGACCAACTCCAATTATCGACTCAGTCGACTAGTTATTTGTTTTTACCTTTACGGCACGTTACCATTTGCAGGCCCATTGTTTAGATGTTGGGTGATGACAACGGAAAAGACGTAAAACCTTGTTGTCTGAGAATTAATTGAATTGTGTGCGAAAACATGCACGTAAACGATCGCTAGCATCGCCAACGTTCACCAACGTTCAAT